GACTCATATGTAAGTTCCACCCTTTATGATCCATAACTTTTGACCAGAAAGTCGTAGTAACATGGAACAAAGAGCTACTTGAAGCTCTCGTTTTGCTAAAACAAATAGACTCCATTTTGACTCTGTAGCTCCACCACAAGACAGTAAAAAATCTATTTAAAAGGTTGTTATGCACAGTGTCACCATGGCCAACCATAAAATTTCAAAATTTCTCTGCGCAAACTAAATGTCCAAGAATAATTCATTTGAAACACCCGTGGACTTACAGTATCGTAGCTCTATTAGACCTCTATAGTCTATACTGTCAATGATATTCATTGAAAAAGAACTGCCCATCCAATGGTCTATTGTCTTATAGTCAAAATGGTTTTACCTCGGACTTTACTAACAAGCTACTTTCTTGAGTTTCTTCTAGTTGGGTCTTCTCAAGCAACAAGTAGATCTATATGTTAAGTGTATAAGACGTATATACTCTATGAATTCTAGACTCATCTATGAAGCTATTTCTTATTTTATAGTTTTATCTCCACCAAGTGATACTGTATGTCAAGGAGAAGTACAAACAATAACTTGTACCGTAACTGGATCTCAAGTGCTCCTATGGACATATGGAGGAGATATAACTAGCTTCAGTAGTGGAAGCACTCTCCCACAGTATATTTCACCGTTTAATTTTACATTACTGTTTCAAGGTAACGATACACTGGTTTCGGTTGCAAGTGTCAATGTATCTGCATCAATAAATGGGAGTGCCATTGAGTGTGAGGATACAGCTGGTTCAAGACAACAAATTACCTTTAACGTAAAACGTAAGAATATAGTGAAGAATAGTTAGTCTTGTGTAGCCAGACTCTCCCTCAAGGGGTTCGACACGGTCTCAAATTCCTGAATTCAGGTGCTGGATTCCAAATAGTATACTACAATGATTTTTGTAGAACTCTGAATACTGCCTAAAATTCTTAAAATCTTAGATTCCAAGTCTTGGATTTCACTGGATTCTATTTGGATCCCAAAGAGAGTGTACTAGCTGGATTCTGGGGTGTGTCAGACCCCTCGATCCACCCCTTTTTGACTTTTGGATGCTTTCCAAAAGTCAAAAAGGGGTAGCCCAGACTGCGAGACTGTAGAGTAGTATGGTTGCATGCAAAAAACCAATAGTTTTTTTGATCTGTTAACTTGTGTTGAGTGTACACATAGAGTCTAGCTATACTTATTACTGAGAATGTTGAGAATGTGTCTAACTGCAGTATGCATGTACTGTTGTTGCTTGATAAAGGAAGGATAAGCGACATGGTATGAGCTATATGTAAGAGTACATTATGTCATTGTTAGTAGCTTGTTCCTTATCACTGTAATAATGAGAACTACAACTGTGACGTGTCATGTGATCAGGGGCGTAGCTGGACCTTGGGTGATGGTAGGGCAAGAGGACAAAATGGCGTACGAAGCGTGCCGCGATTTTGGCCACACCCCTTTTACGTAAAAAATGGAGGCATTTTCCTGCAAGCTGAGCGAAATCAGAGTGAAATTATCATTGTATAGAGCTTTAAAAAGAGCTATGGTTATCAGCCACCCCCTTTTGTTATTGTAAGAACAATGAATATAATCTTTTGGGTTATAATTTCAATGAATATAATTATAAGGCCACTTTGATGGTAGGGCTCAGGCCCTACCTCAGCTATGCCCCTGCATGTGATTTAATCATGTCTTTCTCATATTTTTGTCCTGTTATAGATTCAGTACCTATCAGTTATCTTCATGTTGTTGCTGTATCATCAGATACATTATTAATAATTTGGACTGGAGCTGATTGTATACAATCATATGATGTATTCATTAATGGAACTAATGTTAATACTACCAATGGAATGAGTCTATTGTATAATACTGGAGGAGCTATTGGTAGTATTGATGTATTGGTTAATAGTGTTGATTATTATGGAAGAGCAGTTGGTAACTTATCAACTCAATATCAATTTAACAGTGAGTAAAAGTACACAGTGTACATTTTATTAAACTGCCCATTCCTTAAATGCACCTCAAAGCATGATGCACTATTGAGCTATAATATTAGACTTATTATTATCAAGAGTACATAATATATAAAGAGAGTATCAAACAGCCCTATAGAAGACTGCTGCATGAGGGCGTATTTGCTCAATATCACAATCCGCATACTCCAGTATACTTATCATATCACAAGATCAACCATGTGGCAACATT